GTCCCCGAGGAGCTCCATCTCCAGATGGCCCCAAGACTCTAGCCAGGCATCCCCAGCTGCAGTGGTGCATCCTGATTGGCTCGTGATGGTCTCATTTCCTGTGCCTGTGATTGGTGGAGATATACTTATGTGCCTGGTTCTGACCAATGAGATGAGGAAGTCTGTATATGAGGGGGATGTGATCCCAGAAAGGTTTTCTCATAGACCTTCTCAAGGCAACAGCCCTTTCTGTCCCCAGGGTCCTTGCCACTCCCTCCCATGACTGCCCATATTGCCTGGAGGTGCCCCAGCCAGTCCACAGAGCCAAAGAGAAAGACGGGGCCCTTGATGACATCAAGCTTTTAAGTTACCAGCCCTCAAACAGTCCGATTCATGACTTCATGGCGCAAAGTTCATACTTCTTATTGTTTGTGCCAGCTTATTTGCAGCCCAAAGGATCCCAACTATATGCCATGGTTGGTCACATTATATCTTCTTGGGATTAAGCCCACCATACCAGAGGAAGGATCTGAGCTCAGCTGTGCATCAAGGAAGATTTCCTAGAGGAGGTGAGGCTAACATGGGATCTAAAAGAACGAGCAAGTGGACAAAGGGGGTAGGGCAAAGAGAATATTCCAGGCTGCGAGATAAAGGCCTGAGGCTAGAGACACTATAGGGTGTGTGTATCCATGCAAATAATCTGTGTGGCTGGGAGCCATATGAGATGAGACTGGAATGGTGTGGTGGGCTTTCCAGTGGGCCCTCAGCCAGGCTATCACAGGGCTGCAGGAAAGCTCTCTGGTCAGCCTGGATTTGGCTCACCTCAGGTCTTCCCCTCCAGCCGTGGGCCTAGAATAAATGTACTCAGCCTGCCTTCTGCCCCCTTTTCCAGCCACACTCAGATGCTGCCCTGACAGTCCGGGCAGGGGCACTGGGCCTCATTTCTCCAGGTGTGATTCAGTCTGCCGAGCCTCTTCCAGCCCCCAAGGCTCTCAGAAAAGGCTCTGGCTGGAATCTGGGTCACTCCGCACGAGTCGGACATCCATCAAGTAAGCAGTTACTAAGTGCCTACAAAGCAGAGTGCTAAGCACAGCGGAGAAAGGACCTGGTTCAAATCCCAATTCTGTTTCTTCTGTGACCTTGAGCAGGCTGCTTTACTTCTCCAAAGCTGGTGTCTTCACCTCTTTGGAACACGCAGTAAAAGCCACAGTGCCAAGTCGCTTTAGTTGGGTCCGACTCTTGGCGACCTCATGGACTGCAGCCCCCCAGGCTCCTCTGTCCATGGGATTCTCCAGGTAAGGATACTGGAGTGGGTTGCCGTGCCCTCCTTGAGGGGATCTTCCCAACCGAGGGATCAAACCCACGTCTCTCACGTCTCCTGCATTGGTAGGTGTAGTTCTGTTTTCTCTGGTACTGGCAGGGGGGTGGGAGAGAAGAAAAAGATAAAAAGATGCAGAAAAAACTTCCTGAAAGGTGGGAGAGTAAGACAAGCAAACGATATGCTCCTGTGGACAAAACTTGAGAGGTGATGGTTACAGGGAGGAAGTAGAACGTCTGGATGGGGGGTGATGAGGGACAAGCATTCCTAGCAGAAGATTAGGCAGGATGGAAGGGATGCTCCTAAAGCTTTAGAACAGTATGCTGCAAATACATGGGTTGGATATAACTGTTGAATATAGGTGTCACTGAACCTGTAATAGCAGATTTCTGAACTTGAGCCAGAAAGATGCTGATTCAAATTCAGGCTCTATACTGACAGCGTAACCTTGAATGAGTCACTTAACATCTGAGCCTCAGACTCCTTCCTTGCAAAGCAGGTGTAAAACCTAATTCAGAGAGTCGTGTGCTCAGTCTCTCAGTTGTGTCTGACTCTTTGCGATGCCATGGACTGCAGCTTGCCAGGCTCCTCTCTCCCTGGGACTATCCGGGCAAAAATACTGGAGGGGGTTGCCATTTCCTCCTCCAGGGGATCTTTCCAAACCAAGGATTGAAACCACCCTGCATTGGTAGGCGGATTCTTTACCACTGAGCCACCTGGGAAGCCCCAATTCGAAGAGCTGTACTGTGGTATATGCAGGATCCTGAACCAGGATCTAGCTAATTCCCACTTTAATGCCCTAAGATGCAGTGCCACCTCCTGCAGGAAGTCCTCCAGGCTCCCTCAGGTCATCCACCAGATCCAGCTGCTAGCCCCTAGACACTCCCCTCTCTGCTGCGATGGCCTCTTCCTTCTCTCTCACCAGGCTTGGGGCTTCGAAGAGGAAGAGGCAGGGATCTCAGCATCTCTTGAACTCAGCTGCACCCCCACAGGGAGTGGGCATTTACTGATGCCACATCCCTCCCAAGCCTCCACCCAGGTAGACATGAGAGGGAGGAAGTGACTAAGTCTGCTGGGGGTGGAGGGAAGCAGGGCTCAGGAAAGTTTTGGGTGATAACACTAGATCTTGAGGGTTCAACAGGAATTTACTGGTGGGAGGTGGGAGGAGGGGGTTTCAGGCAGAGAAAGAGAGACAGAGATAAAAGAGAGAACTAAAGCAGGGAGGTGTGAATGGAAGTAAATTGTGGGTCAAACAGTTGAGCCAGAAAATGTCTAACTAAAGATGAGAATTCTGGATTCAGATCCCAAAGGGTCTCAAATGCCACGCCAAGGATTTGCCCCTTCAGGGAGTGACCGAAAACTTGTCAACAGGTAACACAGTGACAAAAATGACAAGGCTCTGGGCCACCACTTGGGGGCAGATACTGATGGAGGAATCAAAAAAGGACCAAAAGTTCTACCTGGATGACTGACTGTTGAAAACTGCTCCAAGAATACATCCACACCCTGCTCCCCCTTATACTTGCAGAAAAGCCAATTTCCACAATCATTTCACGCTACACCCACAGCAGCTCCGTGAAACCTACAGGGCCGAGAGGTGCTATCTTCATTACAGATGGACAAAGTAAGAATCAGAGAAGGAAATGGACCTTGCCACGGTCACAGGGGCAATGAAGGGGCTCGTCACAACCTGAGGTCAGCAACCTGGCCCTGCCTGGGAGGCAGGCCTCTGGCCATTGGACAAATGTGCTCAGCACCTTCTAGAGCCAGATCTTGGAGACAGGGAGACGACCTTTGACCTCTGAGTCATCTTGAGACTGGATTGATCACCTGGGCTTCTTGCAGGAGAGGGAGAAGCGGGATGGGTTTTCTGTGGTCCAGACAGGGCAGCAGGGGCTCACTCCCAGGATAGGCCTATCTATGAGACCTCCAAACTGGACCCTGGGATGGGGGCTGGAAGGGGGCCAATCCCCCCACAAAGGGAACGGGATAGAGGAGTGGCCCTTGGCTGCCTTTCTAAGAAGCCCCCAAATGCCCCCTCCTGCCAGCACCCAGGCCCCCGCACCGCAGCAGCCTGAGTCATCATCCTGGTCGTTTGAATGGTAGCCGAGAAATCAGCCAGGGGGGCTGCCTGGGGCTGACGGCCAAGGGTTGGAAAAACAAGGCCGCTCTCTCTTACCTCCAGCCTTGGAATTTCAAGACAGGCTGGGGGTGGGGAGCAGAGGGCAGGTAGGTGCAGGAGGGATGGGTATCAAGAGCAGGAGAAGGCTGGGGTGGGGGGCCAGAAGGAGAGGGAGAGGTTCAGAATCTGAGCTGGTGGCTTTTGTTTTCAAATGACCTGTTTAATAATTACCTTTGCAATCAAAGGAGCCAGGGCCCAGGGAAGGTGAGCATTCAACCCTCCATACCCCACCAGGCAGCCGGGCAGCCGGAGCAGAAAGTAAACAAGATGCCACTGGCTCTCTGCTCCACCTCGCAAACAATGGCGGGACTGAGCTGCCGGCTCACACACACACACATCAAAGTGAGATTTCCAGGCAAGAACTTTAACAGGCAGATAAGAGGCTCGGATTGAATTTCCCCCCCACATCCCGGCAGCTCCCCCTGAGCTTGCGTCCAAGGGGGTAGCCTAGGGGCTCCTGTCATTTTAAGTTAACCTTGATCTGTAATTTATTCATTCATTTTGCAGAGAACTACCTCCGTCTCAACCTCCGAAAAGCCTAGCCAGCAACAACTTCATCCCTTTAAACAGTCACAATGGTGGACAAACAAGGGATTTAAGTTACAGCGGCTAGCTAGCACTCACACTACGGCTTCTTAAAAAAACATCACCCTAACCCAAGCCCCGATCGGGGCTCACAAAGTCAGACCCTGACCGGCAGTGGGAAAAATCCAACTTGGGTTTTTTTTTTTTTTTCCCTCAACCTCCCAAGGCCTTCAACTATTTTTCCCCCTGCAGCATCCAAGCCCAGCCTCAAGGCAGAGCCGTAAACACGCCTGCTCCTCCCCCTTCCACGGTTCGGCAAAACAGCCCCCCCCACCACCTTCCCGGACCCCGAGAGAAAGAACCACAGCGACCCTCACCCGCAGCCCCCCTCCCCTCCCCTCCCCC